GGCGGGGCACGTGTTAGTGGAAGGGATGGAAGGAGGAGCCTGTGCTGAGCCGAGGTCACCAGCTGCTCCCCTTCTCCACTGAGCTCACTGAGCAAAGAAATGAGAACTCCTGCTCCCGCCCAAGGGACTTACCTGCTAACTTTAAAAGTGTTCATTTTACGTTTTAAGTGAGGGTTACGGTTATTCTTGAATAGGTACCACATTCACATGGTTCCACGTTCAAAAGGAGCTTGCAACAAAGTCTCCCTCCCTGTCTCTCACCCACTCAGTTTCCTTACGTGGAGGCAGCCAGTGGCGTCCGTTTCTTCTGTCTTTCCAAAGAGATGTTATGAGTGACCAAGCAAACATGTATGAATATCTTCCCCTCCTTCTTCTTCTTTTTACATAAACGGCAGTGTTTGTTACATGTATTCCATACCTTGCTTTTTCACTTCATAGTACAACTCAGAGAGCAGTTCTTCACGTCAGTGCATAAAAAGCATCCTTATCCTTTTTCTGGCTGTATAGTATTCCGTGCCGGGCTGTACCATCAAACACTTGAGCATTTGTTTTCAGATGGTGCTCTGAGTACCCTGTGTGTAATAGCATGGGGAAGTAAGTTGGGTACTCAGTGAAGAATGCTCAGTCAGCCAGGCTAGTTAAATTCAGGATTAAAAGTTAAAATAGCCCTTCTTGGAGGTTTTAAGCGTGCAGCATAACTGTCAGGGGTGGCTTTGTTCTGGCGGCTCTTGGAGGCAGGAGTTGGCCAGGAAGACCCTAAAAGCCCCTCTGGTTGGGTTGAAAGCAGCAAAATTCATCAGGCAGGAGGGGTCCGGCCCATGTGTGCTCTCACCACAAAGGGCTTGCCCACACCCACCCACCTGCCCGCCCACTTGCTCACACAGAGCCAGCCAGAGGTGGGCTGCAGGGCGGGGACAGTCTGACTGGGTGTTATGAGAGGTTCAGGGATTCGATCGGAGACGTAAAAGACACTTTCCACTCCAAACAAATGGACTGAAGGTATATTTTATTATATAGAGGATAGTAAAGG